AAGTTCCACATAGACACAACTAAGTGTGCTGGAATGCCTGTTCTTCTCAATATTATCCATAATTTGTTCTGATCTATACAGTCAAATGCTCTTGCAGTCAATAAAGCAAAAGGGAATATCATTTTGGTATTTTCTGTTTGGAACATCCCCATGACATCAACAATCAAGAAGTGTGAGGATGGCACAGGATAGGACAAGGGTCAGTCTGTTGTTCATAGGGTTGCTATAGGTTGTACTTGACTCAACAGTACCTAACAACTTTTCATCAATTCTGGGTGTAATTTAAACTTCTTCCTTCATTACAATGATTCTTGATCATATTCTACCTTCTGAAACAACTGAGTGACAATCAATTCTTTTTGGTACAGTGACCCTGTTTATTTCTTCCTTCTTATTTTGGGCTTTTGGGCTTATTCAATATTTTGCCAGTTATTGTTGTTAGGTGCCATCGAGTTGAGAATATCTCATAGTGACCCTATGAACAAAAGATCTGAATCTTGTTCTAGCCTGTGCCATCCTCACACACAACAGTCTACTGCAGTAGTCACTATATCAATCCCCCTGGTTGAGGGTCTTACTCTCCTTCGTCAACCCTACCCTCCACCTTCCCCAGCATCATGTCTTTCTCCAAGGAACAGCCTCTCCTAGCAACATGCCCAAAGTATGTGAGGCAAAGCCACATCATTATTGCCTCCAAAGAGCACTCCACCTTCACTCTCTCCAAGACATATTTGTTCATTCTCTTGGCCGTCCATGGGATGTTCAGTGCTCTTCTCCAATACCGCAGCTCAAAGGTGTCAATTCTTTTTCTGTCATTTTTATTCATTGTCCAGCTCTCAGATGCATAGCATGTAATCAGAAATACCATGGACTAGATCAGAGGCACCTTAGTCCTCAAATTTACATCATTACTCCTCAATAATTTATAAAGGTCCCTAACTGCATATTTTCCTAGTGCAATGTATCTTCTTATATCTGACTGCTTGTACCAAGAGTGGTAATTGTGGATCCAAGCAAGATGAAGCTGTTGACAGTGTCAATCTCCTCTCCATCCATGACACTGCCTATTTGTCTAGTGTTAAGAATCTTTGTTTTCTTAATATTGAGATGCAATCCATTCTGAAGGCTGAATTTCTGATTTTCTGCAACAAGTGCTTCTGGTCCTCCTCACTTTCAAGAAGCAAGATTCTGTCATCTGCATAATGCAGATTATTGATGAGTCCCCCTCTAATCCTGATGCCACACTCTTCAGAGTCCAGCTTCCTGTATAATTTGCTCAGCATACAGATTGAATAGGTATGAATAGGATTGAGAAGGTAATGAAGGAGGAAGTAGAAGCTGCATTGAAGACACTGGCAAAATATAAGGCCCCAGGAATCGATAGGATACCAACTGACTTATTTCAATTAATAGACACTAGTCTATGCCAGGAAATTTGGAGGACAGCTGTCTGGCCAACAGATTGGAAGATGTCCTTATTTGTTCTCATTCCCAAGAAAGGTGCTCCAACTGAATGCGGAAACTATCAAACAATATAATAAATATCGCATGCAAGCAAAATACTGCTGAAAATCATTCCAAAACGGCAAGAAAAGTACATAGATAGGGAACTGCAAGAAGTTCAAGCAGGAATTACAAGAGGTCGTGGCATCAGGGATATAGTTGCTGATGTCAGATAGATCCTGGCTGAAAGTAAAGAATACCAGAAGAATGTCTATTTATGCTATCTTGATTATACAAAGGCATTTGACCGTGTGGATCGTAACAATATGTGGCTGACACTGTGAAGAATGGGAATCCCAGGGCATTTAACTGTGCTCATGAGGAGCCTATACCTGGACCAGGAGGCTGCTGTGTGAACAGAGCAGGGGGAAAGTACATGGTTTAAAATTGAGAAGGGAATGCACACCCATGTTCATTGCAGCTTTGTTCACAATAGCAAGGAGTTGGAAACAACCTAAGTGCCCATCAACAAACGAATGGCTAGAGA